CAGTTTTTGTCTTGGTCATATCATTTTATTTTGTTGTATTTATCCGCCACACCTTAAAGGCTGGTCGGTGAAAATATTGTCTGAAATTAAACTGGGCCGTGGCGCAAAAAAGGTCGGACCGCTGATCAAGATCATGTGTTCATGTCAGTCATGTCTTCACTCAACTATAAGAAAATGGTAAGAATAAATCATTAATGGCTATGCAATACGCAATGACTTTTTTGTACGTTTGAACTAAAGCAGACTGTTCAGTTCAGTTGTCATAAAATGTGGATTGATCAAAACCACAGCCGTTGTTTTACATTTTGTAAGCGTTGTGGTCAGGTATCACCATAAAGCAGATAATGAAAATGTGGTGTAATAATCTGTTCTTTTTAACTGAAATTTGGAACTGGACGATATGGGACATGAACTTATCCTGATCACTTTTTCATATCAGTATATACTAATATGTATCACTACAGGTCAGTACAGGTAAGCCATCTGGGTCTTTCTTTTCTAGGTATTGGCTAATGAGTGAATGACACTCAGCTAATAAAGTTAAAAATATTTATTGAAACAAAAACAACATCACACAGCCATTTCAGAATTTGAGAATTTTAACTGTCCTTTTTTGCGAGTCCATAAACTCAGAATTCAGTTCTTTTCAGTTTCTTCAGTTCAGGTATGTGTATGTTAAAAAGTTAGTGTTGTTAATAGTACCCAGTAGGGATGGGTACCAATTTCCGGTGCCGTTATGGCACCAGTTCTGACATAAACGGTAGTAACCAGACCGAAAAGCAGCGCACATTTTGGTGCTTTTTTTTCCTGAGATGTCATACACTTTGGATTCTAGTGAATCATTTTACCTTTCCAAGGATAGTAGGCAGGCCCAGGTACGTACGTTCTTTTAGAGCAGAGCTACAGATTAAAATTGCGCAAGGTGTTTCATCAGATTCGAGGTGTTACCTCCTTTGCACAGTATCACCTTAAAGCACTTGTTGCAGGCTGCTGAGTTTGCATCTTTTGCTGTGAAGTACAGCCAGACTTTTGACCGCTTTGCCTTGGGCATTTTTAGCGCTGCTCTAAAAGAACGTACGTACCTGGGCCCGCCTACTATCCCCTGGAAACGTAAAATGATTGGCTAGAATCTGAAGCGCATCACATCTTGGTAAAAAAAAGCACCGAAATGCGCGCTGCTTTTCGGTCTGGTTACTACCATTTATGTCAGAAACAATACCGGTACCCATCCCTAGTCATTTCTCATGGTTACACATAATTTATGGAGATTTATGGTTTGATTTTTGCATGTGTGGATTGGATGGGTTGTTACTAACATCCGGTGAAAATTTCATGTAAATAGCACCTTTAGAAATACATTTACGTAGAAAATTGGTCATGTGTTGAATACTTATTTTACCCACTGTGTTTGTGTTTACATTAATATATATGAACTACATAAAAAATATAATGCGTTAATGACTCTTGCTTCTGGTACCCCATGTGCTGACAAATGCTCTCAAGTGCTGACAACCAGGTGCTAATCAGTACTGCTGCCTTTGCTATACAGCCATCCTTTGAACGCCACACGAGTCAGTTTGTGACAGTGGGATGGTGGGGGGTGGCATCTCCTGCACTGGAAAATCGAGGCTTGGTCATTATTGTCAATCTCAATGCAGCAACATAGGAAGAAAGGGATTCTGCAACCAGTGGCATTCCTATATCTTCACAGTTTGGACCGAACTCCAAGACGACAACACATTTCCAGAATTTGGGAATGGAGAGGATTGAGCGGCCTGCTTGCAGTTCTGACCTAAACCCATGAAATGTAAAAACCATGAAAAATTTCGTACAGGCCAGGAATTGTGTTAGTCTATGCCAACACCAATATCTCTCTGCAATATACACCACTGGTTACTAATTGCCCTTTCATATTAAAGGAAATCAAATTTACCCCCAAAAATGTAAGTAATAACCAAAGCAATAGCTAAACAATGTCACTAAAGAAATAATGATTGTTTATGGCATTATTTAGCGCCCCAGACAAAACACCCTGGATTTCAGCAGTGATATTTACGTCAAGTGTAGATAACATCATGTAATAACCCACTGCAGAGAGATTAGCCAGGCTAACTGAAATAATCATGGCATGTTTCATGTGTCTGTGTTGCACATGAGACTGATAAATACTGGCGTGTAGACGGAGACGTGAATGATATTCTTCTGTGTGCATGCAGTCTGAGAGACTAGCCTACTTGCTCATAGTTTCCGTTTGTCTCTTAGGCCCCAATTACCAAAAGACCTAAACACAGTCAGCTGACAACATTTTATTTCCCTTCCACTGGCAGCAAACAGGTACATTTAGCAGATGAATAAAAAACTGTTGGATGGAAATCTGGATAACCATCGATAACACTCAGATCAGAGAGTCGTGTTTATCTTCGACAGAGCAGCTGCATCATCGCCACCACACTGGAGTCTACAGCCTGACGTCGTTACCTCGTCACAATGTACCGTAGAAATCCTGTTTATCAGCTAATATCAAGTTATTGATTTTAAATAGTTGCTATACAGTGCCCCAACAATAAAACTGAACGCATGGGCGGAGCTGAAATAGTATTTAACTTCGGATGATAACAATCAACTATGGCGAACATATGGCGATGATGTACCTCTTTGCTATTTCTAGCATCCAGCATCAGATAGGTCGACTGCATTACGACACACATAGAGTGCTAGCAACTAGCCTAGCATAGCTCCCGAGTGTGGTGAGCTCTGACTTTGCTACAAGGGGGATGGTGCGCTAAACTACAGCTAGCTATTGAAATGTGTTATAATAAATGCTATACTGGCTTTAAACAAACACTCCCGGCCTTTGTCTGAATTATGACAATGAAATCTTGAATTTGGCGCAAGTCCATTTCACATGAAATTAAGTAATTTATGAGTTGCTTCGACTGTTTGTTCCCTTTCCTCGGTATTTTGAGTCACCAAAACACAACGCGGCCCCTGCTTTTCGAACAGCATGAAAAAATAAGTATTTTATTTTCTCCGGTAGTGAACAGGGGCCTACACATAGGCCGAACGCGAGGGTGGAACGTAACTATTCGGAAACAGGTTGGGTCTTTTTTTAATCAAAGGACGCATTTGTTCATTTATCGTCGAAACCACTCTATTGCCCGATTTGTCAAGCTACTTTGGTTTGGCGGCCGCTCAGTAGGTGACTGAACACCACTTAGCATAGCACGAAGCTAAACGATGATGGGTGCATTTAGGATAAACTTCATTTGCTAGACAGGAAGCGGTTACCTTTGGGAACAGGCAAGCTCCTGCTGTACAGCGGTGACACTCTGCCTGTGGACCAGGTTGCCCTCCGAGTCACTTCCACCCGGGTTGGCGGGACTGGAGCAACTGGACGTCGTAGGTCCTGTGTTGCTCCCGGCTAGAGGAAGAGGGGGGGAGCGGAGCGGGTTGAGTTGTGTTGAATTCTACGCAGAAGCCGGTACAGTACCGTGACGCGGAGCGGCTGCACGCCGATCGTGGAGGTGTTACTGCTGCAGATAGAGACGAGGCTGTGGGAGAGGCGCCGAGTTTATTCCGCTGTTGTCGCTGGGACGAACTCGCTGCTGGCTGACCTGACTACCAGCAATTACTTCATTAGATTGTTTGTGATACTAACATGGCGAACGTGAACAGTTCCTTTTATGAGCTCACATTTTCACTAACGGAATTGTTTTTAACACAGTAGACAAAAGCTGTCCATGAAGTACACTTTGCCTTTCAGGTTACGAAAAATTCTCAACTTCACTTGACATGGCATGATTTCCACTTGTGCGCTGATTCTGAATAAAAATATTTTTTGGCTGAATACAAACTTATGTTGCCACGCTTGCATATTTATTTGCACCTTAAAGTCAAACTAGTCCTCCCCCAAACCAACCACTCTCCAATACACGCAGTTACCTATCACTTCATATTTTTTACGTGACGCCAGAGCCACGGAGGCACGCCCACCTGGAGGACAAAACGGTACTGCGGTGCTTTGCCCTCCCGGCTTTGATCGCTTCGAGTTAAACTCGAAGATGCCACATAGTTGCTGTGCTACTGGATGCATAGCCCAACGTTTATCTACAGCTGTCAGAAGCGTGAAGACTCTAAGGGTCTCAAATTGAAATGAGCTGTGGGCCACTGCTGGCACTGTCATCTCATGTGAGGGCTACTTTAGGGTTCAAGTAGTACAAACAAACAAGAAAACACCCACAAATAATTCTGGAAATGCAGTGTTTTGTTTGTTTTTTGTTTTTAAATTTTAAATATTGTATAACAAGACAAAACTCCAAACGTGAACACACATTTTTTCTCACTTTTCTAACTGAAGCCCACTGGTACTTAAATTTGTACTTGGTACTTTCTTTCTGGCCAGACACATGGCAGCACCTCTGTTATCATTTTTGTTCATATTTAACTAAAATAAAAATGCAGATATAAGTGTACACATTAGTTTTTGACTGCTAGTGAAAATTGTTTTCTTTACAAATAACTCTCTCACTGAACTAACACAACCAATCCCTCAACATGTTTGTACTCTCTGCTCATATTGCCTTCATATTAAATATGTTTTTGCTTTTTAAAGAAAGCAAACATTGAGCTCAACAACAAACAAATCTCTAACAAAAAAAGTAACTTCGTGGGCCAAACTCCATTATATTTCATGTCAATATACGTAAATGGTAAATGGACTGGTTCTTATATAGGGCTTTTCTACTCATCTGAGCTCTCAAAGCGCTTTACACAACTTGTGCATTCACCCATTCACGCCCATTCGCACAAACACATCTTTCTAAGTGCTT